TTATTGATATTATTTTACATAAAAGTAGAATTTATTAGCATACGTAGAAATTAAGTAGTACCTAATAAGTGTTTTAAAATGTTCATCATCGAAAAAATCTAAAAATATAAACAATAAAAAAACACAACCTATTAGGGAGCTCATTGGGTAATCATCGAAACATCACAAAATTTAATATAAATACATCTTATTGTAATTCCATTGAATTATTGTATTACGTATCAAGATCCCATTTAATCTTGCTTAATTAAATCATTTTATATTAACAATAATAATCATAATTCTTCAAAATTAATTGACTTGGACTGTTTAAAAAATAAATGTTATATATACCAACAGGTACCAAATCCACTGTTATAGCTCTACTTCATGAATTATAAAAATATGATATGAGTACCTGCCTTATTTCTATAATATATTAAGTAATAATAGCTTATAACTAACTTACTCTTCTTATGATTTATGCAGGCGTGGATACAAGGGGGGGGAGGGTCTATGTGGGCTGAAGAGGTCTATGGTGTGGTTTGATAAGACTTGAATATTTTTTTCCTATTTTTCCGGACTTCACTTTGTGGACTCTCAGCGAAGTCGGTGCGCTGAAATAGGGAAGTCTCGTGTTACTCTATCTGATTGCTATGAAAGTTACAATGTGACGAAACATAGAACATTGTTTTGAGATATCGCATTCAGTAACTTCACAGGTAGGGATATTAACGGTGCTAACAACATCTCCGCGATACCCATAGGTACTAATATTAAACTTCACATTTCACAAAATAACTGCTTTATATCTGAGAATCTACAGGGATATGTCTAAAAACTTTTAGAAAGTGTCCCACTTTTGGACAGGAAAATAATGGTCACACTACTCTTATCTTCACCTAAATCAAATGTTCATTGTCGCTGCCAATTTATACAACAATTGAAAACTATAATATAGTATTTCCTAACTGATCATAAAGTTGTTTATATTATCATGTAATATGTGTATATATTTTGTTAATGGTATATAAGGGTATTATACCTATTTAATCCATTTGTAAATAAATATCTATGAATCTCTTCCAACGAGCACTGCAGCTGCCGAGCCGTGATATCTTAAAACTAAACATTATAATTGTATTTTTAATTATTTGAACAAAATTGACTGATAACTATTTAAATAAGAGAGATTTTAAATATTTATTGGTTATGATGTCTTTGAAGAATCGATAAATGCAATAAAATATTTAAATTAAATTTATAATATTTATAATACATTCGATTGAATACCGATTTTTTTATAAGAATCAACACTCAGGCACTAGAGGTCTCATTTAAATCTTGTACACGCTTTATGTTTTGTAGTTTTAACTGCACGCCACTATAGCAAAATATCTCATTTTTAATTTTAATTTTAAATTTATTATGTTGGCTAATATTGTATTAATTTCATGGATAAGTACAATGGAACTAGTCCTAATTTTATTTGAGTAAAATGTATGTGTGAAGTGTTTGAGTATTTTAATAAAATTACTTATTTGAATATTTTCTTCACTTCTTGAATAATATCATTAATAGTACAGCTACACAGGTGATTGAAAAGCATCTAATGCTTACTGTAGGTCCAACCCAATCAAATTATGTTGGATACAAATTTAGTCCTGCCGTCTAGTTTCGGTCTAAACTCTGTTTGATTAGTTCAGTACCAGTTTTGTACTTCTAATTTCGGTGTCCACAATATTTTAATAAATAAATAATATTAGGTATATATCTTATTTATCTTTTTCAATCACACAACCACTTACGACATTGGTCTATTTTAATGTATAGGTACAAACCTTTTTGATACCACGGACCACTTGAATAACTTTCAATAGGTCGTGGTCCACCTCGATTTTACTAGTTACTACTTGACCATTTATGGTGTGTGTGACATACATAGTCTATTGCAGAGTGTAAAGATGCATTAGATAGGATTTATTCCGTTTATTTTTACACCATATATTCAGTTCCACTTATCTAGAAGGGTGGGATGGTCTTTGATGTAGAATGTAGCAATTTTAGAGTCAGAGCTACCATGGATTTATCGTCGATTTGGATTAACTAACTGTCTAACTCTAAAGAAGTGGTAGAATGCGCTGATCAAAAATATTGTACATATTAAATATGACGAGTGACCAAACCAAATTATTTCATAAAAATTCGATTTTCCAATTATAGTTTATAAATTAATTAATTAATTAGAACAATATTATAATGAGTTAGATGCAGGTAAGAGTACCTACTGCCATATTGAGTACCTAGTTTTAACGTAAATAGCAGCCCAGTGGGTTAGTCACGATCAGACGATTAAGAACATTAAGACATCAAAATATGCTACACCAGTACAATATTTATAGTGTATATTGAATAGCACAGTACCTACGTACGCAAACACAACATCATTGCTTTACAACAATTATATCATATGCAGGTATCATACGGGTATCATACAGCCATTAATAAAAAAAAAACTAGTTATTTATTCATTATTCGATATTTACACTTTTTGTTATTTCAAAATAACCATATTTATAATTTTGATTCTGAACGCACAAGAATTATATTTTGTGCTAAGATTATGTTTAATAAAGCATTCATCTATTTAGTAATACTCAGGATTATAACTTATAAGTTATAATAATTAATGAAAGCTTAAACCAGAACAATAAATTAGTGCAATCTAAAAATTGATAGGATATATTTTTCATTCTCTAGATCAATTTTTAATAAGTACCTATATAATTTAATGAGCACCTAAGCAATTTATCTGGTATTATGTAATCTAAATTATAATGTAGGTGTTAGTATTGTTGTATGGTTTATAATAAATTATAAAATAATAGACATTTTCAGAAATATATTATATGTAAAAATGTAATAAAAAATCATCTCTAACCAATCTATGCTTATTATTATAGTGAAAATCAACTCCATCAGAGACTTACAGGCAAATATAGACAATGAGTAATAAAAAATAAATACATACAAAAATAGCACCAACGATGAATATCTCGCCAAATGTTCTACCAAACTAAATAAAAGTGTACAAAATATTACCGATTCGTGGACTTTCCCCTTTGAAATAGATAGACAGTTTGAAGTGCTATTCTCACCAGACATAGAATCGTGCACAAAACGCTCACTTGCAGTTTTTTTTTTTTATGACAAGAAAATATATCCCCATATTATGTACCACATGTAGAATTCGTATCGCCATAAAACTCATCTTAAATGAATGCCAAACCTAAAACAACACCAAAACCAATTTAAATCCTCCATGGAACTCATCCAGTGAAACACTAAACAACCGTCCCCAATTTCTATCGCTATCAAATTTATAATAATTGCCAATCAGTTTGCAAAACCAAATATAAAAAAAAAATGGTTGATTATTTTGTTTTATATATATTTTTTATTTTTATAAGTATATACAATATCAATATGTTGTATCAAAATTGTAATACAATCATGTTCGCCCAATGACCATAGGGTTTAAAAATAAAAATAAAAATAAATAAATACATCTTTGTAGTCTGTTATATATTGCACACGACACACGTCAAGGCACATATTATTATTATTTATGATATTGATACACGTGAGGTTTATAGTTTAAACACGCTGAACGACGTTCAAATTGTGTACAATTCGTCGATAAATGTGTGGGTTTGATCCGTTTAAAGGTTTCCGTTTTACATATTATTATTGTCTGTATTATTGCCGTGAATAGACGTGCACTTCAACTTAATGTTTTCAATTGTTATTCGCTGAATACGATTTGTCAAGCCTTACTATTTGCTGTGGGTTAGTACTCCACGCGAATATCGTATTATATTGTATTGTACATTTATATTTATAACCACGACAGTAGGTACATACCCGAATAAATAATACTGAATACGAAATAATTATTTAATATTATTATGTACGACAGCAGAGTACCGTACAATTTTACCATTTATCTAAATAAAAATTTGGAGAGTATAATATTTTATAATTTTTGTTCATGTTTACCTACTGTAATATTATTGAGGACAATATAATATGTGGGAGGGCGCCGGATGGTCTGTAATTCGACATTAGGAGGACAATATTAATATTAATTGCTGAATGAACGTGTTCATATACGTAATAATTTTAATGATGTTGAATTTAATTTTTACAGTGTTTTTAAAATTGGAAAATGTTTAATATTATCTATAGTATTAATTAATTGTTGTACAGATATTTGTGATTCATATTTCAGCTTTATCCTTAAAAGTTACGACTCTTAATGAATTCAAAGGATGTATTTTAACTACCTATGTTTGGTATGTGAATAATATTACAAAAATCTTTAATATTTAAAAAACTGAGGAAATCGCTCAGCTGTATAATAGATTTAATGTGTTCCTCGTCATTGAGCAGGTTCCTGAAATGTATGTGTTACATTTTAATTCAATGAACAATCATTGTCTACAAAAAAAATGGTTCTAACTGAGTCCATGCCACCCTCAAATTCCAAAAAAAAAAAGAACAGATTAATAGGTACTATACAATTGAGTTTAATATTCATTTTTATTATTACGGTATATAATATAATATTTATTAGCATAATCAATATTATTTAATTGCAAATTATCGTTAGTCAATATCTTATATTTTCTTGTAGTAAGCCAGTATGTAGTACGTAGGTACTAAGACGCAACTAGGGTTAAAATTCTAGGGGGCTAATAAAACTATTTATTTAAAATAACCCACAGGGAGCATATATATCTAAATCAATAAGGGATATTTGAAGGGGAGGGCTAATCTCCCCAAGCCCAACTAGTTTCACCAAAGCGTAGGTACGTAGTTTCCCGATAGAGACTGGAGCACTAGTGTGTAATATCAATTTGAAAGGATATTTTATAATTTATTTTTTTATTAGAAGGCGTTAAACTATTTTTTGCCAAAAACATCGCATATAATATTATATAGGTAATTAATTATTCAGTATGATCCGTCAGCTAACATCGACCGGGACGTCGTCAGTGACATCAGGTATGGGGCACCCGATCCGGACAACAGATAGCCACATCGCCGCCCACATCACCAGGGTCCCGATCGGGTGGACCATGTACCAAGTAATTCCCAGCCCCCAGGACTCTACCGCCGGAGAGGTGATTCAGGTGCCAGGCGTTCGGTCACAGTGCGAGGACTTGCAAAGCACAGGACAGGACCGGCGCCTGCTGGAAGTGCGGTACTACACTCTATGAAGCTTATGGCACAGACAGCAGATGAGATCGAGGCGGACGTTCTCATTGTGTCCGAACCGGTAACCCGCTATGGCCACGAAGACTGGTGATGTTTCGGATCAGACCGCAAGTTATACCGAAACCTTAGTTAAGTCATTTTATGTATCCGAGGTAACCTTAGGAGAGTAGAGGCTCCCGCATTGTTATATTATATTGTATAACTGTATTGTTGTTGTAATAGTATTGAGTAGAAAACTGGTCTACCACTACTAAAAATATGATGTATTTGATTTGTTTCAATAAACGATGGGGGCCGTAGGAGAAGTATTGGCAAACTTAGTTCCTTCTCCGGTCCTCGATAAAGCTCAAAAAAAAAAGTAACTAATTATTTTAATATTATATTATTTTTTATCAACTTATAAGTCAATACCGGACTTACCGACTGTACAGAATGTTGTGTATACGGTATAATTTATTGTATTATTGTTATTGTATACAATAAAATAAATATTCTAAATATTTTAAAAACTTCATTGTTTAAAGAAAATGATAATTTATGTAATAGTAATGTTTCAAGTTTCTACGGTTTATAATTTTTGAATAAATAAAATAACGAAAATTGTTGGAGCATAAATCAGTATTATACGTTATATCCAATTTTGACAATATTTGAATTACAAATGATCATAAAATATGTAGGTAAGTACGGCTTTACGCTAAGCTTTTCTTTAAAAATCCAGTAAAAAAGTTGTATAAATAATGTAAAACCAACTTAATATGTGGAGCCTTGTATAACATGTTCAAGTTTTTATACTCACAGATAAAAATTGAATCATACGTAAGTCGAAAAAATGTAAAAAAAGATGTGAACATTTCAAATGTTCATAAATAGCTCAAAATATCCGAACTATAATGAAATTGATATCATTTATAAAAAATGAATATATAAATATTTACTGAAAATGTCAAGTATTTTATTAATTTTACAAAAAAACCAATTTCTTACCTACCAGACATGAACCCGAAGTTAAAATTTTAAGTATATTTTTCACTACAACCAAACTACTAAGGTGGCGTCAGACACAAAAAATAAAACCACATATCAGTGTAAAACACTAAAACCTATACATTCATAGTTCCACTCATAATTTAAGACTCAATTAAGTTAAATTTAAATAATGATTTGTATACAGCTGATATCTTCACACAAGGTATATAAGAATAACCAAATATTATAATGTAGGTATTATGCATTTTTATGCACTACAATGCACTGAATTTTTATTAACCTTGTTTGGAGCATATATTATAACTATCTATTTCAAAACAAAATATACTTACGAGAAAACCGTTGTCACGCACCTGTTGACTGTTGTACAACTGCAATAAACAAATTGGTATAATAGATGTTATCCGTATATATGCAACTTTAATAATCAGTTCGGAAAACATTTAAATAAATATTAAAATCATATGGAAATAACCAGAAAATTTCTGCTTGTAATTTTTATATTATTATTATTAATGGTATTATTATGCATATCTCTGCTAGACATCATCGCATGTACTTAGCAAAGTGTAAATATGTATTATGTATATATGGTATATAGTGTATAAAACTGTATATATGTGCATAATCTTTTATAATTTTATTCATTATAGATTTTCATCTGTAGCTTTTAGTTTTACCTGTTCAATTTTATTTCATTTTCTTAGAAAACATTTTTTTTTTTTTTTTTGTATAATTACCTACTCTACTTTTTATTTATTTTTTTATGGCAGGTCTGTCGAAAGTAAATTACTAGGTAATATAGTAAATTACAATGGTTTACAATTATGATACCAACACTTTGATGTTGAAGTGTTTCAACATTTCTAAAAGTATTTTAAAGAAAAATCACTATAAAATCGATTTGGTTAATAAAACGTATCTAAATTATTACTATCTATACTAGTTTGACTAGGTATAACCATCCCACAGACGAAGTGATAAAATTAAAGAATATGTGTAATTTTAAGTGGCAGTAATGTATTTTATGATTTTATTAAAAGTTCATAAAGATTAAAGATGTACCTAAGTACCTAATAAATACCTTATAACTTAATTATAATGCATATAATTTACATTCATCTCTATCGACTATAATTATATACATATATAAATAATTATATAGTCATTATACTATGTGAAATCTGCATTTTTTTTAAATTAATCAAAATTACAGTACAATAAAATGATGCATTGAAAGTTATAAATTAAATTATAAGAAATTGTGTAATTATCGTACAAATGTTCTAATTTATGATAACATAAAAGTATTAAATTGGTTTGATATAAAGTATAATAAATATATAAATCAAGTAAAAATCTTTAAATAATTTATGTTAAAACTACCTACATTAATATTAGAATAGTTGTAATTTTAAAATATACAACATAATAGATTTTCCACTAATATAATAATATTATTTTATGCAATAAAAATTTCTTTGAAAATACATAATAGGTAAACGAATAAAAATAAAATCTTATTTTATATTATATTAGTTGTGAAAGTCATTAAACAAAATTTATAAATTTTTTACACTATGTTTTAAAAATGAATAAATAAATTAAGAATTATAAAGTAAATAAATTATTATCTTAAAAACGGCTGTGCTGGACTATGTATATTATTTACACCGTTTTTCGCAGTTTGTAAAAATTGCGCATTTTAAACTATACGTACTATTAGGAAAATGAATAAAAAAATTATATTTATTATGATGCTTAACTTTTTATATAATAATATATACATATGTATTTTATTTATTGTTTAAGCTTCAACTACAAGGTCACTACATGCTTACAATCATTAAACAGTCATGCTAATTAAGGACTATTTAGATGTATGGAGTGATATTTACATTAGACTTACATCATATTAATTTATTGTATACATGCAATAGGTATATTAAAAGCATAAAAGCTCAAAAAATAGTTCTGAACATTTTTAGTGTCCCAAACTCAAAAGAGGTTATCCGAAAACAACGCTTTACTTTAAAAAACAATTGATCTCATAATTTTCTAAAACTCTGAATACTGATTCAATGGAAAAATGATGATGCATAATAATATTAAATTTTTAAAATATTTCATGCATATTGTGATTATTCTTTAACGATCTTGCATATTTTAAATAAGTTTATACAGTTATATGTATAAAAAAAAAACTTACTGCTTATTTTGTTTTCTCTGATTGCATGCGTTTGTGAATATTTATTTGCAGTCTTCAGTGCATCCAATAATTTAAAATAATATTCTTTTCATTATTATTACTATTTATTGAGCTTGACATTTTAAAAAATTAATGCAAGTTTATATTATATGAGCTATTCAACTATTGGAATCTAGTATCTACAATGGAATCTTCAGACATTTTTACATTTTACACACATTTGTGATTTTTTATGCAGATTTCATTCATTATTATTTTCTAAAATTAATTAGAAAAAGTATCAGTGACTTATATTAACTAATCATGAATATCAATATTATTAACGTTAAATAATAAAACTGTCCATACCACATAAGGACGAATATGGGACAACAATAATTGCGGCCCATAAACAATATGTATATACCTATTTTAAAGTGTAATAAATTAATATATTATAATGTACCTCGTTCGGAGACCGTCGTTATATATATATTAATATTATTTTAACAATATTACAATTTCCTGTATTATACCTTACTTATTATAATAACACTATAATATTATACACTCGATTATGTGTTGTAACATGTCGTAGTTGCAAGACAATACAATTGGCCGATGGAATCAACACAAAAATTATTGTTATGTGAAAAACTAACAATATATAATAACTCCAGACGAAAACTTAATTCTTTCATGGTCCCATAATGGCATAGTAGGTATATATATAGGAAGGTACTGAACTGTAATATTACTACACAGTCCCACAATTTTCGAGAAGTATATTTTATTATAATAATTCTTTTTGTCCACTTTAACTTTTAATTCGGATATTTCTCTTTCCCTTCTGCGGTCACTTTGTCAATTATGGTTTTCCAATAAGGAGGCTGATGCAACAATAATAATAATTGCAGCATAAAACAAAATGAATATTTTATTATTTCACAATTTAAATTATTTCATATTAGACGAGCGCTGGTGAAACGGACGTCATCGGTGCTCGGCCCAAGTGTATAGTCGTTCTCCATATGGGTGCTTACGAGGTGCGATATTGTAAGAAGTATTTACCTATTACTTCTACGTCGTATGGATTATATTAAAATGTAAATACAAAAATAATAATATTATATTTAAAGTGTAATAAACTAATAATGATATATTATTATGTACCACGCGCGGCGACCGTCGTTATAATATTATTATTATAACAATATTCCTGTATATTAAAATAACACTACCATATTATAATACACTCGAGTATGTGTACATTGAGTTCGTGCGCTGCAACGACGTGCTCGTTGTTTAGTTCATATATAATAATAATAATAATAATATAATATGAATTATATATATTATTTTACGGGTACCTATCATAGGCGTATTTATACAGGGTGAATTTTTTAAATCGACGTTCGTCTATTGATTATTGTGCATTTGAAAATAAATAACTTATTTGTACGCTTGGGTACCTATCATAGTAATATTATGAAAATATAATATACTTTTTCAAACGAATAAAATCATTTCCCACACTGTATACACGTTTTTACCTGGTCTCGTTCTCTTAATAAAATCTCCACGAACCTATATAAACCTCAAGGGCCGTTTCCTGAATCCAGTATACGGATTTTATTATTAAGCCATAATTCCGTGAATGCAGTGATGATAAAAAACATTTTATAATTTATTTTTGTTTACTCCGACTTATCCCGAGTAGGTAGGTATAGTAAATATATTATGTGCTGTACGTTGAAAAAAAAATCAACTCGTATATAATATATATATATACGATTTACACATAATATTATAGTAAGTATACTC